TGTAACTGTAACCCCTCTGTACAGTATCTTTACAATAAAATATATATAAAAGAGGAAAAAAAAGAGACTTGCCAGGCAAGCTGGGTGCCGGTGGCCCACACTTGTAATCCTAGCTACTTAGGAGTCTGTGATCTAAGGATTGCCATTTGAAGCCAGCCTGGGGTAGGAAAGTTTGTAAGTCTCCAGTTACACACACACACACACACACATACACACACACACACACACTCACACACACACACACACACACACACACACACACACACACCTGAAAATGGAGCTTTTTTTCAAGTGTTAGAATGCTAGCCTTGAGCACAAAAGCTCAGAGATAGTGCCCAGGCTTAGAGTTCAAACCACAGGACTGGCAGAAAAAAAAAAGACTTGCCAGGTAAAACATTGATGTATAAGTACTATATTTGCTTGTTTAGCTTTTTGCATATACCCAGGTATTTAGTAAGTAAATCATAATTTGCATGTACCTGATGACTAGCAGTGCTGAGCATATTTTCATATTTTGGTCAGTGTTCTGAAGAGTCTTCAGATATTTTGCCCAGTTTTTACTTGGGTTGTTTGTCTTGTTGCAATGGATTTAAGAGTTCTTTATGTTTTGGATACAAATACTTTGTCAGATACATGCATTTGCAATCTTTTCCTACCAAGACTGTGTTTTACTACTATTTGTTTTCCTAATAGTGTCTTTAAAAAAGCAGATGGGGGGGGGGGGCGGGGTGGAGGGGAGAGTTTGGGGAAGTGGGAAGGGAAGGGATGGTAGGAGAAAAACAAAAGAGGAGGTAACAATGCTCCATAGGAAATGTACTCATTACCCTGTTCATGTAACTGTAAACTCTCTGTACAGTATTTTTACAATAAAAAATATATGGACCAAAGCAGATACTTTGAATTTTGATCATGTATTTTGTAAATTTTTTTCCATTCATCATATTTTTTCCTTTTCTAAGAACTGCTTTTATCTAGAGTAAAATGGTTTTCTTCCAGAAATGTTATAATTTTTGCTGTACATTTTGGTCTTCTCTAGTATAAAACAAAGTTATAATTTCTCTTCACTGCTTTAGTCTCATCGTTCAGTTTTGAAATGCTGTGTTATCATTGCCATTCAGTTTGAAGTATTTTTTAGTTTCTTTTGTGACTTCTTCTTTCATCTATATGCTATTAAGATGTTTGTTTATATTCTTTCTACTTTTCTGTTACTGACTTCTAATTTAATAATCTTATAGTCAAAGAACTTGTTCTATATGCTTTAATCCTTTTAAATTTTGAATTAGAGCATACCATACATCTTTCACTGTTTTGATGAATGTTCTGCATACACATGAAATACATCTCTCTTCTTTTGGGGGTTGATTTTGTATATGTATATAGAAATCTTACATATATGTTATACATGAATAATATAGACAATCAAATTGGCTGGTTGTGTTTCTCAAATCTTCCACATCTGTAATGAAAGTTTAAAATACAAATTTCATTTATTAGTTACTGAAGGAAACCCACTGAAGTTCCAATTGTATTTGTGGAGTTATCTAATTTTTCTCTTAGTATTGCAACTTTTCCTTCAGGTACTTGGAAAATCCAGATGTAGCAACAGTTATTTCTCTTGTCAGACAAAACAGGATGAAATATAAAGCAGAAAGCAGGTGTGATAAGACTAGCAAAGTGTTAAGTTACACCATTTTCGCTTTTCAATCTTAACCATTACCTGTGGACTTCTGAATGGAAGTTAGTTAATCATAGAAAATTTGGTCTTTGTATTATTCCTGTCCTCCCAACTAACTTTCCTTGCCTTCCAAATACATGCATGCATACATACACATATACACATATACATTATTTTAAAAGAGATAATGATTCTATATTACTATGAGATGCATATAGATGTATATTGATGACCCATAAAATTTTCCACCTTAACCAATTTGAGTGGATAGTTCAGCAAGTTAAGTACATGCACACCATTGTTCAATCCATCTGCAGAATTTTTTCATACCCATTAAAAAACTTCCCACTTCCCCTTCCTCAGATTCAAGCACTCATCATTCTACTATGTCTATGACTTTGACTTTTCTAATGATAACTTATGTAAGTGGAGTCATAAAGCAATTGTCATCTTGTGACTAGCTTATTTTGTTAGCATGTCCTTAAGATTTATTCAGTTTGTAGCATGTGTCAAAATAAAAAAGCTGAGTCAAATATGTACATATATGATATATATCATATTTTATCCATTGAAATTAAATATATTGTGTTGCTTTCCCCTGTTTGATTATTATGAATCATGGTACTATAAACTTGGGTATACAAATATCTCTTTGAGATCTTGATTTCAGATTTTCAGCTATAAATTTAGAAGTGGAGTTGCTGATTCACATGGTATTTCTACTTTAATTTTTGAGGAATTTTTACACTGTTAAAATAACAGTTGTACTATTGTATCATTAAGAGGGCACAAGCACTTTGTACGGGCATTCTTGCTGTTACTCATTATTAGCTACTTGTTATTAGCTATTAATGCCAACTTTTAGCTATTAATATTAATTCACTGATTAGAGTCCATTGTTCATTAGCATCCTTGTTAATACCTGCCATTTTCAGTTTTTTATTTCTAAGAGTTTTATTGTTTTAATTTTATTCTTAGTTTTTTAAATTTAAGGTGGGATCTGTACCTCCTTCTTTGACTCTATGCTTAGTTTAGTGTCAAGCTGACTGTTCAGAGTATGGTGGAAATGACACCATATGACTTTCAAGGCCCTACATCTTTCACTTAGTTTTCTGGAAGAGTCACAGTTGGGCCATCATGCTGAGATAAAGCCTATACTAATCAGGAAAGCCCTGAACTCCTCAGAAGATAGGCTGTCCTGGGCTTCCAGCCCATGCAGCCTAAGTCTGACTGCATCTAGAGGAGAACTGAGCCAGAGCAGCCTGGATAAGAACTGGAATTTTTGACACCCCAAATCAGGGAAAGTGCTGTCTTAAGCCACTGAACTGTGTGAACTGTCTTGTGGTACAGCTGTAGATTCTTGACTCCATACCCAAATATTTTTCCAGTTATGTATTTCTGTTATAGCAAAAGGCCCTACAATTGAGTGGCACCAACAGCAGATTTATTATGCTTCACAGATGCTATGGGTTGAAAATTCCAGTGGCACAGGGAAGATGGCTCATCACAGCTCCATGCTACAGTGCTCCAGCTGGAAAAATTCCAATGCTGGAGTGACTTAAGTGGCTGGGGATCTGAGCACTTGGAGGCAGCTTTACTCAGACAAGTTTGGGGGTTGATGCTGGTTGCTGCCTGAGACCTCAGCCATGACACAGATTCACTCTGGGCTTCCTCACATTGTGGAGGATGGATTCCAAGATCAAGTTGTTCATGTCTCCAGGCTTAATTTTTCAGTATTACTTCTAGTCTGTTCATGTGGCCTGGATTCAAGGGAGGTGAAGTGGATCCCATCTCTGGAAGGCACAAAGCTGAAGATTCTTGGAATCACTCTTTGAATAGCTCCGTGGGAAGGTAGTAGTTTTGGAACAGGGTCTGGCTCAAGTTGACGAACTAAGCTATCACTATCCATATTCCACAGAAATAACTGTGTAAAATGACTTTTGTAAGTAGTAAGAGTGAGCCACTGACTGTTCATTATTTCTGCCTGAACTTGTAGGCTAAGAAGAGGTGTGCAGAGAAATAGTTCATTATTTCTAAAGGATGTATTGTTCTATAGTGCATAGTGAAATGGAAATAGATAACTTCATAAAGATCTGATTTTACCTAGCCATAGAAATTATTTACATCACTTAAGGGAGGAAAATTCCAAAATTTAGTCAGTTTGAAAACACCTGCTACGTATTGGAAAAAACCCACTACATATTGGTCAGATGTTCAACAGTTAAATTTCAGCTCTTTTAAAGGTAGTATTTTGTTGTTTGAGAAACTAGGTGTTATGCTAGGTGTTAAATAGGGCATTTTAATTCTGTCTACTGCATACTGTTTTCATCTAAAGTAATAATACATTGTTGTTAAGATACCATGATCAACGAAGTATTGACTCTAAGAATATAATTTTATTAGAAAGAATAAGGAATTGAGTTGTGAATTATATGTATATTGCATTATTTTTAGAGTCTTTCTACCAAAGAATCATTAAAATTCTGCCAATAAAGTGTTTTGAGTAGCTCTTGATATAACAAAAAGGTACCGTGTAAAGTCTAGTCAAGGAGGGCTGTCCCTGTTAACAAGGGTCACTTTCTGAAAAACTCTGGGGCCTCTTACATTTTTGTACCACAGCACACTGACATTTAATACCTATTGTAGTTATTTAACCTAATCACTGTACCAAAGATATAATTGATCTTTTTCCTGTAGGAGGAACATCAAATAACAATGCCTTAGTTTTGTACATCTCAGCTCTCTAATGATAGGCTGTCATTTTCAGTAATTTACCAGTGATTATGAACAATGTGCGTGGGCTGAGTGTAGTTGCTTGGTAACCACCTTTTAAAACTTTCTTAAATGTAATTGCTTCTCTGCTAGTGAAGCATTGATCCTACAAATTTGCATGGGGCTGCTTTCTAAGTAACTCAACATATTAAATGTGCCATGCTTATTATTTTGGATCATTTGCCTTGTAAATTCTGTTAAGATAATCCATCATTGTTAAGATCACCATCTTTGAACAAAGTAAGACTTCCAAATGATTATCTGTACAATGTCATTTTCCCTGTTTAACTGCATCCCTTCTCATAACTGCTTTCTTTAGAGCTGTGAATAGAAGGTTTTGATGAATCATGAAGATCCTTGAGTTCACTTTCAATGAGTCTAAAATCACTTTTTTATTTATTATTTTAAAAATAATATTTTTATTATCTTTAAATAGTTATAAAAGGGGCACAATTCAACATGTCAATTTATGAGTATGAGATCACATTCTCAACATTCTTCTCTCAACATTTTCCTAGTTTCATAGGATATACCTTTAATACTATGACTGCATTAAAATATAAAATGCTTTACAAATTTGCTTGTCAACCACGCACAGGGACCATCCTAATCTCTGCATTGCTTCAATATTTAGTATATGTGTTGCCAAAGAAATCACTCTAAATTCTTTTAACAATACACCCTTAGTCTTTTCTTTCTTTCTTTTTGTGCTACAGGGTCTATGCACTGTCTGTGTTTCTTTTTCTCAAGGCTAGTGTTCTACCACTTGAGCTACAGCTCCACTTCTGGCTCTGTGTGTGTGTGTGTGTGTGTGTGTGTGTGTGTGATTAATTAGAAATAAGAGTCTTATGGATATGTTTCTGCCCGGGCTGGCTTTGAACCATAATCCTCAAATCTCAGCCTCCTGGGTAGTTAGGATTACAGGTGTGAGCCACTTGTGTCTGGTCACATACAGTCTTTATATGTATATAAACCTTATGTGTCAAGTTTGTATCATATAAATATTACTAGTGCCTGCTATCTCCAATTTCACTTTTTCCTATTAATGAAACACATATTGCTATTTAAGAAATATGGCTTAGTATACATCTAGCATATTACTTTGTTTTTTTTTTATGATTATGTCTGCCCATATACTGGCTGTTAAAAGGAAATGGTAAAATAATAAACCAGAATTCAAGGTATATTTCAAATCATTAATTACTGTATGTTTCAATTCTACCTTGTATAGCTGCCCATCTTTTCCTATTTGACAGAAAGAATTTCTATTGGTGTAGGAATAGTTCACAACTGAGAACAAAGTTGACTTACTCTTTGATTCCAAGAATGTAAAGTTAATAGAAACTGAGGACCTGAAAATATATTTGTATTTTTTACCCTAACCTTCAGATTTAATAAAAGATCTTTGTTTATTAATGTTATTTTATAATGACCAGGTCATTGGGAAGAAAAGCAATAGAGAGGGCACAAGAATGGAGGGAAGAAGGGTGAGCAAATGCAGTCATTATATTCAATGTGCGTTATGGAAAAATTGAACTTTGTAACTTGAGGATAGGGATGAGAGGGGAAAATGGGCAAGAATGATGGTAGGGGTGAAACTGATCAAGATACATTGCACTCATAACCAACTCATGGAACGGAAATGTCTTTGTAAACTACTTAATAATTTTTTTTTTTTTTTTTTTAGTTTTTTTTTTTTTTTTTTTTTTTTTTTTTTTTTTATTGTAAAGCTACTATACAGAGGGTCACAGTTACATGAGTGAGGTTATGAGTACACTTCCTCTTGAACATTGTTACCCCCTCCATTGTTTTCCCCCTACCATCCCCTCCCTCCCTCCCTTCCCCGAGGTTCTTTTTTTTTTTTTTTTTTGATTGTGATTAAATGATTACATAATTTCAAAGTCACAAGTTCATTCTAACTTCCCTGGAGCAAATTGTCTACCACAGTCTGTAATATATAACAGTGTTCACATGTTATATACCATATTTGTGATCAGCAGCATGAGGATATTTAGTAGTGGTTCAACCATATGAGCGGGAGTTCTTTGTTTCTTAAGTCCTGTTAGTTTTGTCGTATCACTAACCTTTTGGATTTAGCATCCACTTATGAGGGAGACCATGTACCGTTTGTCTCTTCGTTCTTGGCTTACCTCGCTCAACATGATTCCTTCTAGCTCCATCCATTTCCCTGCAAATGCCATTATTTTGTCATTTCTAATGGCTGCATAATATTCCATTGTGTATAGATACCACAATTTTTGGATCCATTCATCTGTGGTGGGGCACCTAGGTTGTTTCCATATCCTAGCTATTGCGAACAGTGCTGCAATAAACATGGAGGTGCACGTGTCCTTGTATATTGGTTCCTGTTGTTCAGGGTAGATGCCTAGAAGTGGTATGACTGGGTCGTAAGGGAGGTCAATCTTTAGCTTTCTAAGGACCCTCCAGACTGCTTTCCAAAGTGGTTGTATAAGTGTACATTCCCACCAGCAGTGTAATAGGGTTCCTCTTTCTCCACATCCCCTCCAGCATTTGTCGTTGGCTGATTTGTGGATGTGGGACATTCTGACTGGGGTAAGGTGGTATCTCAGGGTTGTCTTTATTTGCATTTCCTTCACCACCAGGGATGATGAACATTTCCTCATGTGTTTCTTTGCCATTTTTATTTCTTCATTTGAGAAGTCCCTCTTTAGTTCCCTTGCCCATTTAGTAATTGGTTTGTTAGGTTTGGGAGGGATTAGTTTCTTGAGTTCCCTGTATATACAGGATGTTAACCCCTTGTCTGATATATTGCTGGTAAATATTTTTTCCCAATTAGTTGGTTGTCTTTCTAGCTTAGTTGCGATAGATTTAGCTGTGCAGAAGCTTTTTATTTTAAGGTAGTCCCATTTGTCGAGTCTCTCTCCAACTTGTTGTGACCCTGGGACTCTGTTCAGGAAGTTCCTTCCTGTGCCTATTAGTTCAAGTGTCTCTCCTACTCTGTCCTGCAGTAGTTTCAGAGATTCAGGTTTAATGTTAAGGTCTTTAATCCATTTTGAGTTGATGTTGGTGCATGGTGATAGGCTGGGGTCCACTTTTAGTTTTCTGCATGTGGCTGCCCAGTTTTCCCAGCACCAGCGGTTGAAGAGGCTGTGTTTCTTCCATTGTATGTCTTTGGCTCCTTTGTCGAATATCAGCTGGCTGTAGGCCTGTGGATTTATATCTGGATCTTCTATTCTGTTCCATTGGTCTTCGGGTCTGTTTTTGTGCCAGTACCATGCTGTCTTTGTGATTATAGCTCTGTAGTAGAGTTTGAAGTTCGGCATGGATAGCCCTCCCATATTGTCTTTATCCCCTAGAATTGTTTTGGCTATTCTAGGTCTTTTGTTGTTCCATATAAATTTTTGGACTGTTTTCTGTATTTCAGTGATGTACGTCATTGGGATTTTAATAGGAATTGCATTGAATTTGTATATTAATTTTGGAAGTATCACCATCTTTACTATATTAAGTCGGCCTATCCAGGAGCATGGGAGGTCTTTCCATTTCCTAGTGTCTTCTGCAATTTCTTTCTTTAACTTTTTATAGTTCTCATTAAATAGTTCTTTTACATCTTTGGTTAGGTTAATTCCTAAATATTTTATTTTTTGGGAGGTTATTGTGAATGGGGTTGCTCCCTTTATTTCCCTCTCTTCCTGTGCGTTATCAGTGTATAGGAAGGCAACTGATTTTTGTGGGTTTATTTTGTATCCTGCTATTTTGCCGAAGTGACTTATGATTTCTAAAAGTTTGGGGATGGAGTTTTTGGGATCGTGGAGGTATAGTATCATGTCGTCTGCAAAAAGGGATAGTTTCACTTCTTCTTTCCCTATGCGGATCCCTTTAATGTCTTTTTCTTGCCTTATTGCCCTGGCTAAGGGTTCTAGGACTATGTTGAAGAGGAGTGGAGACAGTGGACATCCTTGCCTTGTTCCTGTTTTTAGGAGGATTGGTTGTAGCTTTTCCCCATTAAGTATAATATTGGCTATTGGTCTGTCATAAATGGCTTTTATTGTTTTTAGAAATGTTCCTTCTATTCCTATTTTCTCCAGAGCTTTTAGCATGAATGAATGTTGAATTTTATCAAAGGCCTTTTCTGCATCTGTGGCGATAATCATGTGATTCTTGACCTTGGCTCTGTTGATATGCTGGATTACATTTATTGACTTACGTATGTTAAACCATCCCTGTGTCTCTGGGATGAAGCCTACCTGATCATAGTGTATTATTTTTTTTATGTGTTTCTGGATTCTGTTAGCTAGAATCTTGTTAAGGATCTTTGCATCTGTGTTCATCAAGGAGATTGGCCTGTAATTCTCCTTTTTGGTTGGGTCTTTGCCTGGTTTGGGGATGAGTGTGATATTGGCTTCGTAGAATGAGTTTGGGATAGCTCCCTCCTTCTCTGTTTCTCTGAAGAGCTTGAGGAGTATGGGTATTAGTTCTTCTTTAAAGGTCTTATAGAATTCTGCTGTGAATCCATCTGGTCCTGGGCTTTTTTTTGTTTGAAGACTTTTGATAGCTTCCTGTATCTCATTATAGGATATTGGCTTATTTAATTGGTTAACTTCTTCTTTGCTCAGTTTGGGTAACTTGTATTTCTCTAAAAATGCATCCATTTCCGCCAGATTTTCTTCCTTTAGAGAGTATAGCTTTTGAAAGTAGTCTGTTAGAATTGTTTGGATATCTTGGGTACGTGTTGTGATGTTTCCCGTGGCATCCCTAATCCTATTAATATGGGTTTCCTCTCTTCTTTTTTTAATTAATCTTGCCAACGGGCCATCAATTTTGTTTATTTTTTCAAAGAACCAGCTTTTTGTTTGGTTTATTTTGGTTATGGTTTTCTGATTTTCTAATTGGTTAATCTCTGCTCTCAATTTGGTTATCTGGCTTCGTCTAGTAGCTTTAGGTCCCATTTTTTCTTGTTTTTCTAGCTGTTTTAGTTGCAACATGAGATTATTTACTTGGTCTGTCTCCATTCTCTTGATGTGGGCACTGAGGGCAATAAATTTGCCCCTCAGGACTGCTTTTGCTGTGTCCCACAAGTTTCTTTGTGAGGTGTTTTCATTTTCATTGAGTTCTAGGAAATGCTTTATTTCTTCTCTGATCTCTTCTGTTACCCAGGCCTTGTTAAGGAGTGTGCTGTTCAATTTCCATGTATTAGAGAAATTTCTGCGGTATGCTTTGTTATTGAGAGCTAGCTTGATTCCACTGTGGTCAGATAGGATACAGGGGATTATGTCGATCCCTTTGTATTTGCTTAAGTTCCTTGAATGAACTATGATATGGTCTATTTTGGAGAAAGTTCCATGAGCTGCTGAGAAGAATGTGTACTGTGTTGTTTTAGGGTGAAATACTCGGTAGATGTCAGTTAATTCCGCTTGAAGTATGGCCTCACTTAATTCGGTAGCTTCTTTGCCAATCCTCTGGTTGGTAGACCTGTCCTTTGGTGAGAGTGGCGTGTTAAAGTCTCCTAGTATTATCGTATTGGGATCTATTTTATTCTGTAAGTTTGAGAGCATTTGTTTAACATATCTGGGTGCACCGATATTTGGGGCATATAAGTTGATGATGGTTATATCCTCCTCTTGGATTGTTCCCTTTATTAATATGTAGTGTCCGTCCTTGTCTTTCTGTACTGAT